GCCTTGCTCTCTTTATGCATCGTTTAAATAAGTTCAAATATACACAATACTACTAAAAAAATACACCGTTGCATTTCGAAGAGATCGTAGGATCATGCTGTACAAAAAATCCATACAATGGAAACATTAAACGTTGAACAGACAGTACTTATGTAACCGGTTAGCTGTTGCAATCTCTTCGAAAAAGTGTACAGGTTACTATAATTGTGCTGTATATGTTTGATTTTCTTTATAATTTGTTCAAATACAACACTGTTATAAAGTATATAATCAAATATAGAATATCAAATTATTCTGAACTATTCTCAGCTGTTTTCGACGAGTATACTCGTCGCGTAGATATCGCAACATTTCGTGCTACGACGAGTATACGCGTGAAAAGCAGCTAACTGTTCAAGCAAAAAGGAATCTCTAATGGACAACGAAACAGGTGGCATCTTTTCGCATTCATTCAGAGGCCAACTCGTAAAAGATCGCACGGTGGTTGTGATTTTCGCGTCGTTTGAGATCGAAATAGCTTGCGGTTCGCCACTGTCGTATCCCATCGACGGATCGAGGCCGCTGCGATGATTAAGTTATTCCAGGCAGCGGGAACAATAACGTTCTAACGATGATTGGGAATTTTTGCCACGCCGTTACTTTTACCGCTAGATGGAACGAGGAAACGGACACGAGAGGAGGACAGGGTCCTCCGAGGATCGCAGCACGCGAGACGATACGCATTAATTGCCCCGCACTTTTCGCGGCGACGGTATTTTCGTTCTGGAATACTCCCGGCACGGGAGGATCGGCGGCTAGGAAAGAAGCACAAGGTCTTAGGAAAGTTTTTTTCTTTTCGAGGATCGCAATCGCGGAAATTGTTTCGGTTGCACAAGGTCACGCGTTGCGTAACGCGGCGAGCACGAGCTCGCGACGAGTCCACGGGGAAAGCGTTCGGGAATCGTCGACTTTCATTCAAAGTTTTTCTCGCCTTGGAACGCGACGGTCGCGGAACATCGTCTGGCGGACACGTGAGGAATGAGAGCCACTTTTTTTCTCAACGAGAATTCATTACGGTTATGTCAACTGCTGTGAAAATTGCTCCGAACGTGACACTTAACTAAATCACTTTCTCTTCGGACCTTCGGTGAAGGGGAATTATATCTTCGATATCGAAGCCCTTCTTCGAGAAACTGTCTAAAATTGTAACGAGTAGAATTATCTAAAAATCTGGTCTTTCGATATTAGAGCAAGATGCTGTGAAAATTGCTCCGAATGTGACACTTAACTAAATCACTTTCTCTTCAGACCTTCGGCAAAGGGGTATTATATCTTCGATATCGAAGACCTTCTTGGAGAAACTGTTTAAAATTGTAACGAGTAGAATTATCTAAAAATCTGGTCTTTCGATTTTAGAGCGAGATGCTGTGAAAATTGCTCCGAACGTGACACTCAACTAAATCACTTTCTCTTCGGACCTTCGGCAAAGGGGAATTACATCTTCGATATTGAAGACCTTCTTGGAGAAACTGTTTAAAATTGTAACGAGTAGAATTATCTAAAAATCTGGTCTTTCAATTTTACAGCAAGATGTTCGATTGTACTTGGAGAACCTGTTGCGAGCGCGATTAAAATCCCTATCGGATCCATTTTCCAAAATGATCTTCATATTTTCGAAAGATAGCTGCCCAAGATAAGCTGCTAAACGCCGCGGTTAATTTATGCGAGCGGAAGATACTGTTGCGAGGCTGCGCGAGTATTATGTAAAATTGCATCATTATCGTTTAAATGCCACCGGAATGAACGTTCTTGTGGAAGGCGAATTAACGCGACCGGTAATTACGGTTCGCACATTCCCGTCGGAAACAACTGAATTGAATTTCAGCTCGCGAACCACCGAATTCAATTGCGAACCTAGTTCTGACTAAAGTTCAGCATTATTCGGATTGGTTCGAGTAGATATTCATCTAAGATAATTATGCGAACGAATTCCTTTTAGTCGAATATTTTAATCGAGTTATTCATTATTCGTTATAAATTGTTCTATCTATTTATTCGACATAAATTGTTCTATTTATTTATTCGAATAATACATTATTTATCATAAACTGCTCTATCTATTTATTCGAATAGTACATTATTCGACATAAATTGTTCTATTTATTTATTCGAATAATACATTATTTATCATAAACTGCTCTATCTATTTATTCGAATAGTACATTATTCGACATAAATTGTTCTATTTATTTATTCGAATAATACATTATTTATCATAAACTGCTCTACCTATTTATTCGAATAATACATTATTTGCCATAAATTGTTCTATCTATTTATTCGAATGATTCTTTATTCCAATTCGAATAATTTTTTATTCGAATAACTCGAAAAAGTAATATGGAAGTAATAATTCGCTAAGCTATAAAAAAACACTTTGTATTCTATCATTTCTATCCAAATCAATTATTCTTCGTATGAATTCCTGTACAAACGAAATCTTATTCGAATGAATTCTCGTACGAATAAAATCTGATTCGATCGAATTCGTATTCGATTAAAATTTTAATTGGATAGTTTTTTATCTAGACAAATTTTTATTCGACCGAATATACACTCGATAGGGTCGAATAAAATGTTATTCGTTAGCCGAATAAAATTTTGTCCAACTCTGGATTTTTGCTGAGATACTTGCCTTGCCGACCCATTCGCTGACTTCGAACGCTCTTGCGACCGACCAATCGATCGTAGAGCGACATCTTTAAATTAGGGTTGTTCGTCTGCGGCAACCCTCCTGTCTCGGGGCTGCTGTAGACGCTGTTATGCCGATTCCTCGAGAAGAAACCACCCCCGCTGCTGTAGGTCGTCGATGAACTTCGCACCGAGCCCATTCTCGTGATTTGTCGCTGCAGCCAATTTTTCCTTCGCTCCACTAAAGGCGTGTCAACGCTCTCCTGCAAAAGTTCCATCGACATGTTGTAGATTTTATAATTATTGTAAGTGTTAAATGGTACTTGAAATATTAGCTTGTAAGATTCCGACAAAATTGTATTTGAAATTACAGGGTTCGCCATTTGCTGATTTCGTTTTAAAATTGCTATAAAAAGGACACCGTTTAATATCTTCCAAAGATTTTTGCTTTATAATGCTTATATTGTAATAATTATAAAATATAATATTATTTTTAATATAATATTTTAAAATACAATATTATTTTATTATATGATATTATATTATAATATATTATATTATATTATATTATATTATATTATATTATATTATATTATAATATATTATATTAT